CCTCCATCACCTCATGGTCAGGCTGTGCATTCAACTCCTTTTCCATATCCTGAAACTTGCTGAGGGTAGCATCAAATGTATCAGACTTAGCAGGTTGGGCAGGCTGGGCAGGCTGAGGAAGAGGGATACACTCTGATGGCCAACCATCCTGAGCATCCTGAAGAGCTTTCTTGAGAATCCTAACCCATTGCCCCTGAGTGATCTTTGGGTAACCCTTGAAGTCTTTGAAGATCTGACTGAGTTCATTCCTGAAACTGAGCATCACCCAATCAGGCACAGCATCAGGATCCTCAAGCTGAACCAACTGCTGAGTGTAGTACTTCTGCAGCATGTCCACAAACTGTTCCTGAGAGCACCTGAGCTTCACCTTGATGTCAGCCATCTCAGCTGTCAGAGCCACCACCTTCATGGAGTTGCTTAAAGAACCACCCAAAAATAAAACTCATTGCTAATTAACCATTTAACTAATTAATTAATGGGTTTCCCATTGGGAAACAAAAAAACAAATCCAAGCCTTAGGACTCAAAGAGAATTTCTCCAGAGTCAGGATATTCCTGAGGTTGGAAAACCATTCCACAAGATGATAATTGTAGTCCTTCCTGAGCTTGTCCATCTCAGTGTTGAATTGCTCCATGGCTGAGCTGATGGGATGCAAAGAAGCTGACTAGAATGGGCTTGAGCCTTCACAAGCAGGGAAATAAATCCCCCCATGTGAGATGAAAATGGATTGAAATCAAATGAAAAGCAATTCCTTTGTTAATTAATAAATAAGGTTGAAATCAATTCAAAGTAAAGTGAAAATCAATTGAAAACAATTTAATTAAACAAATTGAAAATCAATCGAAATTAATTTGAAATCATTTGAAATCAATTGAACATCAGTTGGAAATGAATTGAAATCAATTGAAATCAAAACCAAAGGCTTTGCAAAGGATGAGTTTCAGCCAAGCAAAAAAAATATGAATGATCATAATACACAATAGTATGGTTTGTTTGAGGGTACACTATTGTGTCCAGCTGCTTCCTGAGGTTATGTTTTTTTTCAAGCATTTCCTTTCCCTTTTCATTTGCTAAAGTTTGTTTCCTTTTACTTAGCTTCATCCTTCTTGGAATCAAAACCAAAGGCTTTCCAAAGGATCAGTTTTAGCCAAGCAAAAAAAAACATGAATGATCCTGATACACAATAGTATGGTTTGTTTGAGGGTACACTATTGTGTCCAGCTGCTTCCTGAGGTTATGTTTTTTTTTTCAACCATTTCCTTTTCTTTTTCCTTTGCTAAAGTTTGTTTCCTTTTACTTAGCTTCATCCTTCTTGGAATCAAAACCAAAGGCTTTCCAAAGGATCAGTTTTAGCCAAGCAAAAAAAAACATGAATGATCATGATACACAATAGTATGGTTTGTTTGAGGGTACACTATTGTGTCCAGCTGCTTCCTGAGGTGATTTTGTTTTTTAACATTCCCTTTGCATTTTCCTTTGCTAAAGCTTTTTTTATTTTCTCAATTAGTTTCTTTTATTTAGAATTCTCAGAAATGCACAATTTCCCAAAATATATGATGCCTTATTAAAACCCAATTAAAAAACATGACTCAAACAATTTTTCAAGGGGGTAGTCCATGAGCAACCCTGATACACAATAGTGTGGTTTGTTTGGGGGTACACTATTGTGTGCCCAGCTGCTTCCTGAGGTGATTGTTTTTTTTTTTCAACCATTTACCTTTTCCTTTTCCTTTGCTAAAGTTTGTTTCCTTTTACTTAGCTTCATTTTTCTTGGAATCAAAACCAAAGGCTTTCCAAAGGATTAGTTTCAGCCAAGCAAAAAAAACATGAATGATCATGATACACAATAGTATGGTTTGTTTGAGGGTACACTATTGTGTCCAGCTGCTTCCTGAGGTGATTTTGTTTTTTAACATTTCCTTTACATTTTCCTTTGCTAAAGCTTTTTTTTATTTTCTCAATTAGTTTCTTTTATTTAGAATTCTCAGAAATGCACAATTTCCCAAAATATATGATGCCTTATTAAAACCCAATTAAAAAACATGACTCAAACAATTTTTCAAGGGGGTAGTCCATGAGCACCCCTGATACACAATAGTGTGGTTTGTTTGGGGGTACACTATTGTGTCCAGCTGCTTCCTGAGGTGATTGTTTTTTTCAACCAGTTCCTTTTCCTTTTCCTTTGCTAAAGTTTGTTTCCTTTTACTTAGCTTCATTTTTCTTGGATTCAAAACCAAAGGCTTTCCAAAGGATTAGTTTCAGCCAAGCAAAAAAAAAACTTGAATGATCATGATACACAATAGTATGGTTTGTTTGAGGGTACACTATTGTGTCCAGCTGCTTCCTGAGGTGATTTTGTTTTTTGACATTTCCTTTACATTTTCCTTTGCTAAAGCTTTTTTTATTTTCTCAATTAATTAGTTTCTTTTATTTAGAATTCTCAGAAATGCACAATTTCTCAAAATATATGATGCCTTATTAAAACCCAATTAAAAAACATGACTCAAACAATTTTTCAAGGGGGTAGTCCATGAGCAACCCTGATACACAATAGTGTGGTTTGTTTGGGGGTACACTATTGTGTCCAGCTGCTTCCTGGGGTTATGTTTTTTTTTCAACCATTTCCTTTTCTTTTTCCTTTGCTAAAGTTTGTTTCCTTTTACTTAGCTTCATTTTTCTTGGATTCAAAACCAAAGGCTTTCCAAAGGATTAGTTTCAGCCAAGCAAAAAACACTTGAATGATCATGATACACAATAGTATGGTTTGTTTGAGGGTACACTATTGTGTCCAGCTGCTTCCTGAGGTGATTTTGTTTTTTAACATTGAAATCAATTGCAAGTAAATTGAAATCAATTGCAAGTAAATTGAAATCAATTGAAAGTAAATTGAAATCAATTGAAAGTAAATTGAAAGCAATTGAAAGTAATTTGAAATCAATTCAAAATAAATTCAAATCAACTCAAAATAAATTCAAATCAATTGAAAGCAAATTGAAATCAATTCAAAATAAATTGAAATCAATTGAAAGTAAATTGAAATCAATTGAAAGTATATTGAAATCAATTCAAAATAAATTCAAAGCAATTGAAAGTAATTTGAAATCATTTCAAAATAAATTCAAATCAATTCAAAATAAATTGAAATCAATTGAAAGTAAATTGAAATCAATTCTCAAAATTAAATTGATCAATTGGGAAAGTAGATAAATTGAAATCACCAATTTGAAAGTTAAATTGAGACAAAAATCAATTCCAAAAATTTTCAATCATTGCATCAATTGAAAGTTAAATTGAAATCCCCCTTTCCCCCCACAACACATTGAAATTCACTGCACGTAAATTGAAATCAGTTCAAAATAAATTGAAATCAATTGACACGTACTTGAAAATTCATTTTTCATTTTCCCAAATCATGCACATCCATTCCCCCCCCCCAAATAATTGTCAAAATCAATTGAAAAGTAGTAATTTAATGAAATCAATTCAAAATAAATTGAAATCAATTGAAAGTAAATTGAAATCAATTGAAAGTAAATTGAAATCAATTGAAAGTAAATTGAAATCAATTGAAAGTAAATTGAAATCAATTGAAAGTAAATTGAAATCAATTGAAAGTGAATTGAAATCAATTGAAAGTAAATTGAAATCAATTGAAAGTAAATTGAAATCAATTGAAAGTAAATTGAAATCAATTCAAAATAAATTGAAATCAATTGAAAGTAAACTGAAATCAATTCAAAATAAATTGAAATCAATTGAAAGTAAATTGAAATCAATTTAAATCTATCATTTTTTTTTGATTTTACACTATTCTGTACCCGGTACCTTGTTTTTTCCACACTATTCTGTAACCCAAATTTGTTTAGGGGGGGGGGGGCCTCCCCACACTAATCAGTAACCTACATTATGGACAATTCTTTGGCGCCACTGAGTTGGTTGAAGAGGGGCGTGTGTCTGGAAATTTGGTGCCGAAGAGCTGGATGGAAGCGGCATGGGAATGGGTACCGATTGACTCGTATATCCGGACGCTGTCTCACTGTGATCCAGGCCGTAATTAAAGTCATTGGCAGGTCCATCTCCTGCTCCGAAGCCATGCGAAGATCCCGGCTGGCAGTGATGGAGACACGTTTTGTCATATTGAGAGCTGAAATGGCAGAACATCTAAAGAAATGGCAAGACAACCGAAAGAAAACAAAGTAACAAGAAAGAAGCCAAACCGAAAACAGGTGGCAAATTGAGTAAGCGATATTGAGAGCCAGCTGAGCGGTCTATGGTAAGTATCCAAAAGGAAGGGCTCTGTGGCAAGAAAGACGCATGATGTACGGCTGATTGAAATCAATGAAAGGTCTGGGAGGGAACAAATTGCCCGCGTCCTGTTGTCGGCACCATTGAGGTGGATGGATACTAAGCAGGTGGCAAATGTTGATGGTGTTGCTCAGTACGAAAATGTCACCCGAGCTTTCATGCCAGCGAAGATCCAACTCGTCAGGGTCAATCTGAATCTTCTAGGTGATCGATTTTCGGTCACTGACATTGGAGATGAGTTCTCCCGGCGTCACACGAAGAAGCTTGGACACAGGAAGTAGCAGAGAAAATGTGAAGAGAGCTGTTTCTTCCGTTCCAGTCATTACAGGAAGAAGATTGCAACGTGTCACCTGTAGAGAGTCCGAGTGGCAGAGTTCTTCCGCAACATGACGAACTTCGCTGAAGTCAATGATGACCAAAACGCGTCGAAGACGTCCAATTGTAGGTGTAGTATCTGAAACCGAAGGAATGCCGAAGAAGTCATTATGGGAGGAAGTATGAAGAGCACTTCGGGGACAAGAGCGGGAGCGGGCCATAGCATATGGAAGGATGCAATACAACGTGAGGGTGCAGTACTAAGAGCCAATTATGTGCACTGTAAATTACCAAAAACCAGCAGAAAGCTGAGGCATCAAAGGACAGGAACCGGCAAATCAAGCGAAAGGACAAAACCCTTTTCCGATGTTTGAGAAAGTCTAATCTTCGGCCTCGTTGCGAGAGCGGGTGTCAAGCTTGTAACCGATAAGTTCATTGTCATCTGCCTCCGGCCAAGGTCGGTTGCCCATGTTGCTCACGATGAGGGTCAACAGGCCACCCGGGATGGGAGCCGGGGCAGGTGCCGAGGATGACGATCGGTGAGTAGGAAGACCATGCTCTGTGGCAGAGTCATCGTCTTCTTCTGCACAGCCAATGCCACGACCAAAGGGGGCAATGTCCCCAGATGGTACAATGTCCGCAGGAGGAGGGACAGAACGGTCGTGCTCTGGGTCGGGGCGTCCCCGCTGTCTTTTCTTGGGTCGGGCTTCCGGATTTGCCACTGCTGGAGTCGAGGTCGGTGGGTTCAGAGTTGGTACCGCTGACGAAGCGGAGCGGTCAGGAAGCCTTTCCACTGTCATGAGTCATGGCGCTTTGAGCGTGGATTCACAGGAATGGTAGGTGTGCTTGGAGGAGTAGCCATGGGACGCATTTGCGGTTCAGGATTCAACACCATGTGGGTAGGTACGCCGCCATGAGATATCATGGAGGCTGACGATGAGGATGGCATGCTCGGCATGTGTGCAAAAATATGAAGATGGCGACTATGGGTGTGATGGTCCGGTGGTGGCAGCATAGTTTGGTGATGAGGCGGGGGTTCAGAATCTTCCCAGTCAATGGCAGGCCCAGAAATCACTAACTTCGATGTTGGGGTTAGATCAGGGAGGGTTTAGATCAGCGATAGTTTTGCCAAAACCCTGGATGTCAGAAAGTATTATGTTTGAGCGTTTTTGAGTTCATGGTTTGAGCAATCTATACGCTGAAGGTGTTTTTTTTTTAATCCTTTATTTGTTTGTTTATGCTCTTAAGAAAGGGGCTGGCAGAAGTGTATTGTATGGCAGACTATGTTGCATGAAGAGATAGAATTTGGACACAGTGGGGAAGTTGAATTTTTAGGTTTAAACAGGTGAACTTGAAAATTGTTTGCTGCTGATTCTTCATGGCTTCACATATGTCATATGCTCATATTTGTTCATTTGTTCATATGTTCATATGTTCATATACCACATGCTCCACAGGCCACATCAAGCTGACTTGGCCACTTTTTGTTTTATCATGTCAGAACTTTGGACTTGATGCATTGACAACCATGTTCATTACACCAATCAAACTGTGACATGGCTGGCAATGTAACATGTCACCTGCATGATTCAATGTTAGAAGACTGGACTAGGTATGGCACTGATGTATGACAGTTACAAGTCATTTACATAGCAGATGCTATATTTGCAGCAGCCTTGCCTGTCTGAGTGAAGGCCCAAGGCACTGACTGGACCATGCCCCATTCCTTTTTTTTGGCCGCCATCATTGTCTCCACTGCCTGGGAGAAGTTTACCTGGCTTGTTTGATTTGCTGCCAGAACGATTTATGAAAAGCGAAAATTGAAGAAATGGAAACATTTACCTCCTGGAGGGGGTTGCGACAGCTCTCATGTCAGCAGTTGGTTTTTGAGTTTGTAGTACTGAAGCAAACCAATGGAGTTTGTTTAGGGAGAAAGTTGGGAGAAGTCAATGACCATCTTGGTATACAGGCAATCTCACACTAACTAGCTGTGGCCGTGCTTGGTCGGCAGAGCTGTATTTTCCGAAGTCTTAGCTGTATTGCTTTTGGCTCAGAACCATCATTTGTCACATTTTCGCATGTTTGCTTGACTTGGAGTGATGCCGCGGCGATCAAAGGCTTTGGTTGGCCCCGCTTCTGGGAATCGTGATGGCAGCAGTCTTCGGAGCCGGAGGGTGTTCATGCTCCAGGACCCGATGCGAATCAAATACTTCCCAGAGGCAAGGGCTAACCCCGGGATTGCAAATTGATCAAATCTTATCAGATCATTCAATGTGTGTCTTGATTCAACAACTTGAACTGGTGTGCGCATGTGTTTTCGCATGCTGTTTCAATTAGTATGACCAGTTACTCCAATCGAAACGGTGGAGGTTGAACGGAAGCCAATGCCTGAACACGATGTGCCCTTTGGTTCCGTTTCACCATCATGACATGACAACTGTGAATGTCGAATGTTATTTAAGATAATATGGTCTCTTGCAATCGCTGAACACACTGTCATCTTAACCCAATGTATTCAAAACCAGCCAGTTTGTTCATGTATGGCTGTCATGTACTTGAGGATTGATGGGGGCCGCAAGATTCAAATCGAACATGTCAATGACCACCCTGTCCTCAAGTGACTAGGTAGCAACAGTCACGCCATGGCCCATGGGTGCCATGTTTGTTTTTCCCATTAGGTCTCATTGCAGGTACTATGTCCTGATGATCATTATGTTGTTTGATTTGGAAAGTCAGGAATAGAAAGTTTGTGATTGGTCTGTGCTAGTTTTTGCTTTTCTGTGGGGGCATGGTCTGCAGTTGTGTAATGCATGGCTTCAGGTATTAGCGGATTGGCTAATGTTCTCCAATTTTGTTTCTTTTTGCGTATGTGTTATCATGGATGTTGAGTCATTGACTTGCAGCTGAGGGCGTGCTATCGAGATTATGAAGAATTCTGTTGGGATGGATTTCGGCTCTTGGCCAGTCAGAATCCCCGTATGCCCCCCCACGATTTTGTGCAGCTCTGCAACACGGAGGCAGGGTATCTTGAAGGAAGGGTCATGCTGTCATGCCACGATGTGGTTGCCAAACATCATTCTCATAATCATCAACTTCGTACCTCTCTTTCACTCTCATGGTTATTTGTGTGCCAACAGTGCGCTTTGATTGTTCAAGTTGATCGCCAACAGTGAACAACCATCAGAAGAATTTAGAATTTGACTTGGCTCGGTGGCTGTCAGGTCACCGGATGGCGCGCCCTTGTCCAGATAGATGGACAGTACTGGTTGTGTGTTCCTTCTCAGAACACTATCCACTATGGTGGGGATACCTTTGCGTTTCAAGAGAGCTACTTGACTCAAAGATAGTCCAAACCAGTAATGATTGATTGGCGATTGCAAAGTACATGTCATGGGTGTGTCGGTGATTCATGTCAAATGGTTTGCAGTCAATTTGGTTCTTTGTACCCTGAGGTCAACCTGGCAGTGGAGATGGACAAGTCATTTTTGTGAGTGGAGGGCTGTTTTTGTCAGATGCAGCGGGTGTCTTAGGCTGCTTACTTCCTGGCGTTCAAGATTCGAATATGTCATAGCAGCTGCTCCAAATCTTGATTTCAAATGTCACATGACTCTGTGATGCCGCTTTGGCAAACGGCTTCGCTTGCGGGACTGCGAAGTGTGCCAAAAAAAACTTCAGGCCAGGATGTTACAATACGATGTGTCGTGCTTTAACAAAATGTTCATATCAGTATAAATGAGCGAAACAGTTTGGGGTCCTACTTGTTGCCTTCTTTTCCCATTGTAGGTTCTTTTGCGTAGTTCATGTAGTGATTGATCACCAAATATAATAAGATTGACTGAGTGCGCATGTTCGACCAGTCATAATTGTCTCTTGCACGCCAGGTATCTCTTTCCAGTCATTCATTCCGGCTGGGTGAGGGAGGACTGGGTGATTTGTTGTTGGGAGGCGATGCATCGGGAAACTTTGTTCTGTACAGAATCATGCAGTTCTTGTTGTCAAGCAGATCCCTTTTTGCGCATTCAATCGTCAATGGGAAGATTTTACAAACTTGAAACGGCAATGGAGAACCCTTGGCCAACAAGAAACATATTTGCCACTTGTCCTGCGACACATGTAAGTCAAAATCAACAACATTGGCCTGGAAGACAAAGTTCTGTCAAATTAACTTGTGAAACCTGTACCTGGGAACTTGGTTGTTTGTACCAACTCTTCGGAATCTGTTTGAGTTTGTTCAGGGAAGAAGTGAAAGTCATATCGGAACTAGGAAACAACCATCAGCCGTTTCACAATAACAAGTTTCAACAGAGCAAGTCCAGCATCATAGTATGTTTCGTTTGTGTTTGGCAAGATATGAGTAGTTAAGCCGGTGGCAAATGAAATAATTTCTCAAAAATAACCCTTTGTGGGTGGCTTTCAAAGCAGTGCAAAAATTATCCTCACCACCACAGTGCACATCTTGGCAGGACCGTATGAGAGACTATGCCTGGCGATCTTTTTTGCCAATGCGCAGGCAGGGAACAGAAGCGGTTTTGTTGTTGACTTGCCTTTCGCTTCCACTTTTTTTAAACACATTTATAGCGCCTCAAGAATGAATAACCTTAACCGAGCGCTGTTGAAAATGTGGCATGTCTTTAGCAATTGGTCTTTCACTTTTAACTAATGTATTAAAGTCAACTCTTGTCCGCAATGATGGATTCAATAGGTATTGTAGATGTGATCTTGCAATGACACTGTTGCTGGTTCCTTTCCCTGTCCATTTTGGAATGGGTTTCTGGGCCCAGGAGCTGCAACTGTTTGATTTATGTTTGAGTTTGTGGAAACTTTCGACATTGGCCAGGTCCTGCGAGTTTGGAACACCCCACCAGGCTGGGACGGAGGTTCTTTTATAGATACCATTTTAGCATATCATGTTGAAGGAATGGTATCAGGCAAATAAGGTAACCTTATTATCAGAGAGCTCTCATACAACTCAGGCTGCAAACCACATGGCTTCTGATATTTGAGTGCGGGGAGAGACATGTGAATGGGCAGGCAGCAGTTCGATTCTGTTCCCCAGTTCGCAGTTGGCTTAGTTTGTCTGCAGAACAATATCATAATTGGAATGTAGAAGCTTCAACAAAAATGCAGAGCAATCAACTGTTTACAAGCTTGCTTCCGTCACACTAACTTGTCTTTGACAAATGGTATTTGGGTTTGTGTTGGTCTGAGCTCAGTCGTGGAAGTGTACCTTTTGTCCACAACTTGACCGATGACGATTGTAGTGTTTGTGTTTCTTTTTTCAATGCCTCGACTGCTTGTGACCAGGTAAAACCTTGAATGTTTTGAAGACTTTTTTCGAGGCTGGGATTCGGCACGTTGAGAAAGTTGGATGCAGTTGTTGATCAATAAAGCGAAACTAGTTGGTCGCTTTCATGTGGTATGATAAATTAAGACATGTTTGTGATGCAATGACTGAATAGTTCAATGCACTTACTTTGAGTTAGTTAATGTAATTGTTGATGACCATTTTGCCGTTTCTGAATCTATGGCCCAGGTCTTCATTGGCTGGGCCCCCACCCATTTTGATTCACTACATGAGATACGGTCTGGACCTTGGAAAATCATTTGTTTTGACCTCAAAGCCTTATGAATGAACAAAAGGAATTACATGTTCAGTGCTGAAATGGACTATGTCATTTTCATTTGATCTTCCAATCTTGAGTTAGCGTGTCTTTGTGCTGCTGCAGTGCTCACATGCTCACATGGACCGTGAACATTCACATGTCACATGTCAAATGACATATGGTCATGTGACTCCTGA